TGGGGTTTGGGATTTGGGTGCATCATGCCCGGAGCACAGGAAAGGAGCCCCGGAGGTGGCGGCCCAGCGTGCAGAGCAGCTCTGGGGCCCCGGGTGGGTTCTGGACAGGCAGGCCTGGCAGCTGCTCCTGCCCAGGGAGCGAATTCCTGCTCCCAGGATGCCCAAAATTCACCCACGAGCTGAGCCCACCGCGGCCCCTCTGCAATCCTAAAGGTGAAGGAAGGGGCTGAGATGTCACTCCGGGCTGGGGGAGCTGGGCAGGGTCGGGATCTGCTCCCAGAGAACCACAGGGAGCAGGAGCTGTGCCAGGGGAGGGTCGGGGCTGGATTTTGGGAAAAAGTTCTTTGCCAAAAGGTTGTGTTCAAAAATTCTCCCGAAGAGAACATCCCATGGAGCCGGGCTGGGAGAGCTGGGGGGGTTCACTGGAGAGGAGAAGCTCCAGGGGGACCTTCCAGAGCCCGAAGGGGCTCCAGGAGAGCTGGGGAGGGACTGGGGACAAGGACCGAGTGGCAGGACCCAGGGAATGCCAGAGGGAAGGATGGGTGGGATTTTGGGCAGGAATACAGGAGCTGCCCCTGCATCCCTGGCACTGCCCGCGGCCAGGCTGGAGCAGCCTGGCACAGTGGGAGGCGTCCCTGCCCATGGCAGGGCTGGCACTGGGTGGGATTTAAACCCACCCCAGTCCGGGGTTCCCTCGTGGAAGCTGGCAGAAGATCCCGGGCACGGAGGGCACCAGGAATTCTGCGACGCTTGATGGCTCCAAGGCGAATTGTCCAAGTCCACAGCATCATCTCTGCCTCTGGCCAATGTTTCCCCTTTCGCCTCCATTTTCCCGATGAAAAATGTTCATTTTCCGGGGCAATCAGCGCAGGGGAGCGCCCGCTGGATGTGCCAGGCTGGGAATGCCATCTGCCGGCCGCTGGCAGCGCCCCACCTCCCTCCGATCCCGGAGGAATTCGCGCAGCTCCTTTTGCCAGGGAAAATGTTCCTTTTGGGGCTCCGTTTTCCCCAGGGATGCCGAGGTGTGCCCAGCTGCCATCCCGGGAATTCCGTGCCCATCCCGAGGGGCAGCACCAGGCGAGGGAGTGGCTGGGGCAGGGCCGGAGCCTCCCGGTGCCGGCTCTTTTCCCAAGCAGTTTTTTATTTTACCTTTTCCCGGTCTCTCCCTCCTCCCCGTGCACTTTCCCTTGGAATAAATCATTTTTGTGCTACCTGACAGCGTGTTTTCCCGAACGGAAGGGAAGGGCAGGAGAGGCGCTGCTCCATGGAGCATCCTCCTTGTATTTCCCTGGATTTGCTGCTCATTTTCAGGCGGTGCCGATCGGGACAATCTAAAGCGACCCAGAGCCCCTGAATTCCTTTGCTGCCTGAGGAAACCCGGGATGTCAGCGGCTCTGGAGCCGCGGGAGGGCGGGGGATCCATCCCGGCGGATCCATC